CCCATTAAATATCCTTGCTGTTTCCACAAAACACTTAACCTCCTGGAGCCTCCATTTTCATGTCTGTAAGTGAGGAGCAAAACACCTTTCTGAGGTTCAAGGTGATCAATCAGTGAAGACACACTCAAAAGTGTAGCCTTCTATGAAGCATATGAAACCCTTTGATACCTTTTGTTTCCTCTTTGATAATTTGTCATAACCAAATCATATATAAATTATTCTGTTTTGCCCAGTTCTCTTACCAGCGTGTTTTTTAGACTAATAAACTAACAATTATATGTCTAGGTCTGTTACTGGATGAGAAACAGTTCATGGCGAATCTGCAGACATTAAAGGGAAGGATCATTTGAGTCACTCCCACCTCCTCTAAACCCTGACTCACTAGCAGCCACAGTTCCCACTTTTGTTTAGAAGAGGAGGAGAGACCCTGAAGGAAGAACTAAGTGGGGCTCTTTGATAGTTAGCTGAATTTACCCTGTTGAGGTAAGGTGTTGGGTCGTCAGTGGGTCTGGAAGGCATTTTGGAAGGAAGAGGGAGACAAATGTGAGTCCAATCGTAAGCAAAGTCTCCTTAGTTCAACATATAAACAGAAACACTAAGTCAAATCAGATGCTTATACATTTTTTAATCCCATCATAAAACATTTTGTTTTGACAGCCTGGTAATGTAAGTAGAAACACCGATCGAAAGAGCCAGCGTCCCTGCCTACTACCTGCGAGTCTAGTCTTTCCTGGGTATAAATAGAAAAAAAAAATGTATGTTTATGTAAAGGGAAACCCTGATTTACTAGAACTGATTGCTTCGTAGTCTAATTACTTTTCAACTGGCTGTTCCAAATTAAGATGTCATTGATGGCTTTTGGTGATATATTTCATTTTAAGCAAATTTATTCTATAGTAGAGTACATCATAATGGGAAGCAGACTTCCGACTCTTCCCTCCTCTTTGTAGCCTGATATCTTGACAAGTAAATTAAATTTAGCAGTTAAAATGCTTCCATTAGTAATTTTATTAAGTTAATTAAAGTATCTCTCTTTCTGAATTTTAACTACCTTTCTTTCAGAACAATGTTGATTTCTTTCTCTCTTTCCTTTTTAATTTCATGTCTTTAAAGACTCTGATATGTCACAGGACCAATCAACAAATCCATCAGTATTGCATTCCCATGGCCAAGCAAGTCGAGCAATGAGCAGAGTTCTGAAGTTCTTAAAGGGGGGTCTGCTTCCAGAGGCAGAACTTGCGTTTCTCACATCTTTAAAAGCAGGAGGATGATGGGAGCAGAGATCAAGGAGAAGAATATGCATGCCTTTGAGGCTTGCTGCATTTTCACTATGAGCCAGCGTCTTCATATCTTCAGGTACGGCCTAAGTGGCTCAAGTGCAGTTTAGTTGATAGGTGGAAAGAAAAGCTCCAGCTCCTTGATTTAGTGTCCAGGCTGTCCTCGGCAAGACCAAAGTGGTGAAGTACACGCTAAGTGAGTGCTGAGCCCTCTCCAGAGAGTAACTTTTCCTTTTCTTTCCTTTATTTTAAGTAGAATTTTTAAAAATTTTATTCTTTGTGTCTTTCATATCTATGCATCTCAAACTCATTCATCTCCCTGTCCCTTTGTATCCACTCTCTGGCCTTGCAACTCCAACCCCCTCCAATGCCAACCCAATCAAATAAAATTTAGAGGGAAAAAAAGGAATAACCTTATCATGGAAGCTGTAGTGTAACATGGTGAGTCATACAGTAAATCATTTTATCCATGTATCTTTTCTTGCAAGTGTTCATTGCAAAGAGTCAATGGTCTGGTTCAAGGCCTCTGGTTTCTTCTATACTATCAATGCTGGGCCCTCACTGGGCCCCCTGTTGTTACCCTGTGTTGTGGAGATCCTGAAGCTTTGATATATAAGACTATCCAGGGTTCCAGAAGATCATAGATGGGGTGGATGTTTGGCTAGGTCAACTCTCAATTCTAGTTCTGGGCCTAGGTAGTTGCAGGGTTGGTCAGCCTGCCAACTCTCCTCCAGTACCCACCACCAGGGTAAGCTCTCTGGCATTGCCCCAGCTGGTTCACCCTATGCAGCAAGGAGCAAGAGGCAGGCCAGTATTCCTGCTCTTGGACCCTCAGGATCCACTCAGCCACACCTATACCAGAAGGGCCAGCTCTACTATGCTGCCTGGGAGATGAGAAAGGTGAGGAGATGCATGGCCTATTCTCAGAGTATTGGAGCTGGTAAGGGGCAGAGACAGTTTTCCTGTTCTTATGATATCAGTGTCAGCTCACCCCACCTGGCTATGAGGGGCAGGAAGAAGGCACCCACCCCCATCCACATCACCATATGGCAGATGAGGGGTGTGGCCAGATCTCCCATGCTCATGTTCTTAGGGCCAGTGAGAAGCTTTTTCAAATAACCCGAGCATTTGTAAGACACATGAATTGACACCTAGTTTCTTCATGGACTAGTGCCTGCTTCTTGGGGAAGGGTTTCTTAAACCTTAGAGTTACAGAAAATATTTTGGTAGACTAGAAGGAAGCATGGAGTAACTTTTTATTTCAAAAATGGAAAAAAAATGATTGTCAGAATTAACTGATGCGGAATTTCCTTCTGTGTGTTGTGATTACCATTAATGAATAAAGAAACTGCTTTGAACCTGTAGCAAGACAGAACTTAGGGAGGCAGGGAAAGCTAGGCTGAATGCTGGGAGAACAAAGGGCAGAGTCAGAGAGAAGCCATGGAGCCACTGCCAGAGACAGACATGCCAAAACTTTGCCAGTAAGCCACTGGAGATGGGTTAAATTAAAATGTGAGAGCGAGTCAATAAGAAGTTAGAGCTAATAGGCCAAGCAGTGTTTTAAGTAATATAGTTTCTGTGTGGTTATTTCGGGTCTAAGCTAGCCAGGCAGCAGGGAACCAAACAATGTGGCTTCCTTCTTGAACAATTAACAATGCCACAAGCACCAGAAACAGCAGTGAATGTAACAGTGATTGTTCACCATTATGAAGTTTTCTCTCTTATCTATCAGAACCTCCTCAAGGAAGATTCTTCTAAAGTCTCAATGTCTGTGAAAACATAGTATGATCACAGCAACACTTACACAGGAAAACCTTTAACTGAGGGGGCTTCTTTTCAGTTTCATAGGTTCAGTCAAACATCGTCATTGCCAGACATGGTGCTAGAGAAGGAGCGAAGAGTTCTACATCTTCATCTAAAGATATCAGGAAATGAACAGTTGCTTCTGTGTGTTGCTTGAGCATAGAAGACATCAAAGCCCACCTTCACAGTGACGCACTTCCTCCAACAAGACCACACCCACACTAACAAAGCCGCAGCTGCTAATAGCGCCACTCCTTGTGCCGACTATTTTCTTCCAAACCACCACAACATACAATCAGTGCCTAAATGTTAACTAATTAATGCAAAATGTATGACTTCATTGCTTTGTGCTTGGAAATTGGGTGAATATATTTACCTTTTATAAACGACTTGAGGTTCCAAAGTAGCTAGTGTGTTTACAATCTTAATACTCAGAGCATCTACCTTATAGACTTGAACTTCACAAGCTAGGCCATGTAAAGAGAAGAGAAAAAAAAAACCAAGAACAAACCAAAACAACAACAAAAAGCCAAACATAAAGGGAAAGGGAGAGCTTGTACCTAAGATACTGTGGAGCCTCTTTTAAAGTATCTCATTGCCAGTGTACTAACTGGGATGTTGGCTTTGTGGGTGAAACTTTCGCATTGGGTGCACCCATGCATTCAGACCTGGAGCGACATCTTATTTATAACTGGGAAAGCCTGTCTGTCACTCATTCAATGAGGAAATAAAGGAAAGCCAAGAATAGGGTTCATGCCAATTACCATTAACACCTCCCATCTCCCCCTCCCGTTTTCTAATAGCACCCGTCTGAATATCTTTGTGAGCACTGACACTCACAGCTTAGTCTCCACCATCTCTCTCCAGATCGCCCCCATAGCTCCTGAAATCCTTACCCATTTACCCTCTTACTCAAGTCTCTCCACAGTCACACTTGGGTACCAACTCCCCGTCAGTCCACTGCTTCTGTCCTTCCGCCCTCTCTCTCTGTGAAACTGGAAACCTTTTGTTGTTATATTCTGAGATCATTGCTTTCCTCCTAAGCATAGCTCATCGTAGCTTTTGTTCTTTCTATCCATTCCCCACTCTTCAGACTTTTTTTTACAAAAGACCAAGGAATAGGAATGAGTCTGGAAACTCACAGACCCTCTCTGTCAGGATAAAATAGATAAAGCCAAGAAATTATTTCTTAGGTCAAAAGAGAATAAAAACATATCTGTTTTTCTCTCTGTATCTCTCTATGTCTCTCTGTGTGTCTGTCTCTCTCTCTCTCTGTCTCTCTCTTTCTCTTATGTGTGTGTGTGTGTGAGAGAGAGAGAGAGATTTTCTCACATTGGTATAACTGAGATGGCTGATATCTATCCACCCCTTCTTCCTAAGATTCTTTCTGAATGCCTACTTCACCTACCTTTCTCTTTTACTCCTTTTCTCCCTCTCCTTCCCTCCCTTCCTGCCAGCTTTATTATCAAGATGAAAGGTATTAAATCGTTACTTCTCACTTCCTCTTTGACCCATAATATTTTAGTACTTGTTTTGAATAAGCAACTTGAGAAACAAACAAAAAATTGTCAAATCTCTGTCTGTCTGTTGGTCTGCCCCCCCACACTTTGTGTGTGTGTGTGTGTGTGTGTGTGTGTGTGTGTGTGTGTGTGACTTTTGTAGTAGATGCTTCCTTTATTGTGTGAGCAAGCCCTTTCCATAATGATGTTTTAAAACAGAGTCCAGCATAACAACTCTATAGTTAAGAGTCAGCTATACAGACTAACATGTAAGAGTATAGATCATTCAGGGCTTTTCTTCCCCCTGATTTAAAAACCTTCTATGTTGTAACCTCTACTAGAGATAGAGCACTAACATTTTCCTAGAAAAATAGTTTCTATAAATGTGATACAAGGAATGGCTCTTCTCACTCAAACTTACCTCTTATGTCCTTGATTTCGCTGTTTGCATTGCAGACACTCCTAGGTGAGAAGTTTGTTTCTGATGTGAAGTCTGGGTCCAGTAGTGAAACTGGTTTCATATTTATAGTTAGTTTTCTGCTTCTGGGAGAAGGCCAAACTGATAGGTCCTTGTGAGTGAGAAAAGAAGAGAATGCGGTTATCAAACACGAGGTTCTAGAAGATGAGAGCATCAACCAGATGACAACTCAATCAAGAAAGCATTATGTCCTCTCTTCCTTCTCCTTACATTCTTGCCTGACTTTCCTCCTGGGCAGAGCTCAATTAAATGTATAGATGCACAAAAGAGCCATGTGGATTGGAAAATGTGTGACAAAATCCCCATTATTGGTTGCATGGAAGGAAGAATGTGTTACTTTAAAATTAAATACCAAAGGCAGAGAAGTACTGATTTGGATGCAGAAACTGCAGAGAGCTGCAGTTCTGGAAGATTCTCTAAGCCTCTTTTTTGTCCTTCACCCTGGAGGCTTTTGAAGAGGCCTGAATGTCTGCCTTAAAGTGAGTGATGCTACTTGAAATGAAAATGCAAGAGACCACATATCGCTCTTCTACACAGGCTCAGGCTAAGCTACGGCACGCTGATGGACGATTTCAACGTGAGTGAGTGTGATTTCCCAGCAACAACTTCTAAACCCTATGCTGTCATTGACCTCCACAGTGCAATTGAACATGTTTATGAAGGCATACAAAATAGAACAAAATGTACTGGGAAGGATGTGGAAGTCTCTTTCCAGTAGCATAGCACAATCGAATCATGTGACCATGTCTACTATGGAATGCAGCCTTATGCCCTTCTTATGCTCAGTAGTCTGAGATGGAACCCATTCCAGCAAAGGAACTTTCTAGTACAGGGACCTAGTTGGCTTCAGTAGAAGAGACTGAATTAGATGGGAAGTCCAAAGTGTGGTCAAGGCCATAAAAGACTAGAATTAATAACAGGAGACTATGATGTTTGTCTTTTCTCTTTCTTCTTCTCTGTCTTTTCTTAAATCATAGATACCAGGAAGGTGAACTATGCCAAATCAAATATTTTCATATGTGCTGTAAGTGCCTGAGAAAGCAAAAGCTATGCATCCAGTCCACAGCCCCTTAAATCAAACACAACTATCTGCACATTGAAATGTATGGCTCATAGTATATGTTAAAGCAAATAGCGGAAAGCTTTCTCTAAAGAGTAAAAACCTCAAGTGCATGCCGATGCAGCGTGGTTGGCTAATATTTACTGCTTCTTTGCTAAGGTCCAAGATATTTAGTTCTGCAGACACCAAAAGCAGGTATGCCTTATGTCTACCAAGCATGCCTAAAGAAAGTTTCTTTTCAATTAAATAAGACATTAGCATTGACCTTCTTGAGCCTTGTTAGAGAGAAAAAGCAAACACCACCTCACAAAGCCTGCTTTTCATGAGATCACGAAAGCAACTGTCGGACGCAGCACTGCCTGCCCTCCCTTGTTCACTGAGATGTTCTACGGGGATGCCATTATCTTCTCCTGAGGCTATCTTCTGGGATACATTCCGTGTATTTCGTATATGTATCTGAATAGTTCTACCCAGGAATGTGAAGCAATTTCTGTTGGAGTCCGTGTAGGAAGATAGAAATTGAGAACAGCCATTAGTTAAAGCACGGGCATCTATATCATCGCTGCTCCCCTCCCTGGAACTCTAGCCGTGAATATTTCACATTCCACTGGTTATATCATTATTCCTATACACACCGATTGCACTATAGGATATTACAAGGCAGAGACCATCGTATTCAACTTTAAATTGCTAAAACATCATAATATTTGGCATATTGGTCTTGAGTAGTGAAATGATTGCGTGAATGAATGAAGCAGGCCATTTGTATTTAAATCCAGACAATAACTATTTGGGCTCCAGTCACTCTGTAATGGAAGTGTTTTCAGAGAGCACTGGAGAAAACTTGGCTGGCTATTCTTGGAGAACACACTGACTATTTGTTGGATGGAGACAGTTCACCGAGGAAGCAGATTTTGACCCTTCAAGAACTTGAATGTGATGATGAGCTTACGACAGTTCTAAAAGCCAACATACGGTCGGTGGCCAGATTGTGGTTCTGGACTCAGAGGCTTCCATTTGGAAGCCAGACAAGCATTTGAATTATGGGTCTAATGAAAGTGTCAATAGCAATCCTGTTACTGGAGGAGCTGTAAAACCCTGCTTAATGAACTAGGCAGGGACACAGAAACACAATGGTCTAAAATGTACTGTAGGAGAAAATGATAATTAGCCCAGATTTCATGTACAAGATAAAATGCATAGGGATGATATTACCACTGAGCAATATTATAGCCCTTCAGGGGACTGTTTTGTTAACACTGTTTGGCTCAGCCTTTTCCATCCTCCTTGTGTAAGTTGAGATTCACTCCACAGTCACAGGGCTGAGAGTTAGGAGAAGGATGTCAGACGGTAAAATTCCTGTCATAGATGCTGACGAATGTTAGTGACAAAGGGTTCGGGTACCCTGCTGTCTGGGAGCTGCAATATAAGATGCCTGTTTTACCACCTTCAAGAACCCTGGGACGCACTTGTTCTTGTCACCCTGCTTCTGAGCGAGCAAAGGGCAGAATGAAGGGTTTCATTTGACTCTGTGAGCTGCAGAAGTAGTCACCTCTCCAGTGTGTGTGTGCTTCTTCCCCAAAATTTTTGCTTTAAAGTACCATATTGTGAAGACTATAACTATCCCAAAATTAAAAGAAGGAGCAGAGTGTGGATGTGGGGCAAAGTTAGTGTGTTGAAGAAAGCTGGAAGGTTTCATGTACCTGAATTCACTCCATGCTTGTAGGTCTCTCTAGGGAAGAGGATGGACAGATAGCAGCCATATGACATGAGAAGTGAGGCATGAAAGGGGTGTTTATTTTGGAGAAGACAAGGATTCAAAAAGATTTTGTAAAGGGGAGCCAGGGAAAAACATATTGGAAACTGGTTTTCGTGTTTAATATGTACTCAGCACCCAAAAATATATACTCCCAGTGGGGTAGAGAAAAGGGAGCATGCTTTGCCAAGCTAACCCACAGGCAAATCCTAGATAACCCACATGCTAAACCTCCTGCCAGACACAAGTCTATTTGTAAATTACTCCACTTAATTCCCCAGGTCACATTGCCTTTCTCTGCAAAGTGGTTTATGACATTCACAATTAGGAGTTTGCTATGAAACTGAACGAACGAAGTATGAAGTAAACTGCTATGATAGTTGAAAGATGAGTCACTTTTGAAAAGTGGTTTTGTTTCCCATGTTCTGGATAATGTGTTTGAGAATGTAGTTTCTAGCCTCCCCCATCACCCCATTGTGAAATCAAATTGAGTGACTCTCTGCTTTCAGAATGATCACTCGTTCCCATGTATTCAATAAATGAAGCCCAAACACAACGAGGCACTCTGCTAGAGTGTCCCAGAGAGCGAGGCCCTGGTCTCTTCCTGGATGAAGCAGAAACAGAAGTAAAGAAACCATTAACCCACATCGACTGCACAGAGTGAACAGAAGCCACATGGCTTCTGTTTGCTAGACTCTTCCAAGCCCATCACCTCATTGGCTCTTGTAGGGAACCCATAATTGCGTCATTATTCCTTTTTAACATAGAATCTAGACCTCAGAGTGGCCAGTGATTTCCCAAACTCATTCAGCAATACACAATCTATCTTTTCTAGGATTCTTGTCCCTTTTCTTTCAAGAGCAGAAAAAACACTCTTAATAAATACACAACAATATAATGTACATTGGTTAGAGAGCTGGTAAAGGAAGACTGAGATGGGTATGGTGGACCAGTGGGAGGCAGGGGCAGGGAGAGAGAGACACAGCAAGAGAGAGAGAGGTGAAGGGAAGAAGATGGTTTGGCCACAGTTTAAAAAGTTTTAAATTTACATGTACAATATACACTGAAAATTGAAAACAACACAAAATTCATTTTCCCCCTGAATCTTAGTCCTGATTTAAGCAGCCAGAACTGGGAGATAAGAGGTGAATTTATCTGATGTTAGGACTGAGCAGTGTAACATCTAAGAGTCAGGTAGAGGGGATACACCAAACGACAGAATAGCAGATTCCTAGACAAGGTAACAGATGTAGGGACAGCTTCGTTCTAAAACATAGCCTCCAAATGTCCTCCTAAACCAACAAAGAGCCATGCTCTCTGGTCCTCACTCCTGCTCTCTTCCCTTGGAATCAAATGTTCTACCCTGAGCTTCTGCCTTCACCATCTTCTCACTGGCTCTGGGACGTTCAGTGCAGAGTAGATGGTACAGAAGGCACAGATTAACAGCACAGACTGGTGCCCTAACTAGTTCCTCAGATTAGTTGATGCTCATGACCTATTCCAGTAAAATATTTAATTATCTTCTCTGCTCTATTAAAGTGTATCCTTTCTGTGTTTATTTTTGAGTGGCCATCACGTTTGAGGAACTAGTTTTCTTTATTGTAGAATACTGTTTTGTGAGTTGTGACATTGAGGGAGCCATAATTGACAGGGTTGATATTTGAGACACTGCTTCCCCCACAACTCCTAATAAGAAATCCATCCAATCAACTCATCCAGAGTACCAGAGTCTTCGTGCCTTTCAGTTAAAATCAGAGGCAGAAGTCCCAATTCCAAAGTTGAATTTCCAGAAAGGAAGGTGTCTCTGAACTGTTGCTAATTGCTTTATGTTTCGAGGTCTGCAGAAATTTATTTCTAGCAATATTTCCCTATACTTTCAAACTTGTTTATAAAAAAATCAAAATAGTATCGTTTTTTTATAATCCAGGATTTACAGCAACTTTGTATTAAAAGTCATGTTGAGGTCTCTAAGCCATTCCAACTGTTAGAACCAATGGCTTAAGGAAAGAGGTTTTGTTTAGATAGCTCAAGACCTTTGTTGATGATTGAATCCTGGCTCGATGCCTCTATACATCTAAATAATTAGGAAAAATACATTTAAATGAGAAGCAGATGCTGTTTCCAGATTTCTATTTTCACTGTACAGAATAAATAGAACCGTTCATCTCTGTGTTTACTCTTTGAATATGGCGCATGCTACATGAATCATTATTTAAAGCATAGGGTGTTCCTTTCACAGAGGTAAAGGAAATAGGGGACCTCTGTGGTGCTC